CTTGCTGCCTGGTGACCTGAGTTCAATTCCCAGAACTTACATGGTAAAAAGGAGAGAAATGACTCTGTATGTTGTCCTCTGACCTTCACATAGTCATATGCGTACATGTATGTATATACACATATACTGGATAGATGGATGGATAGATGGACGGACAGACAGATGTAAAATTAAAAGAAGCTTATTTTTAAATATCAAGGGAAATTACCACTTTTATTTTTACTTTATTCAACTGTTACAAATATTGGTAGATAAACAAAAAACACACTGTGAAACATCTCTTTCCTGCTGCTTATAGCCAAACTTTATTAACATTGAGCTACTTAGTTTAACAAATGCACATTTTTTTAAAAAAGATATCTGTCCTATCCTGGCAAACTACCATCAAAGCTGTGACTCCTAGGAGCACTTTTCCACTGAAGAAGTTGTGCTGCACTGATGGTCAAGCTGACTCAGCACTCCCACATGAATGGCACAGTTTTAAGAGCAGTTCACCCATACTATAGCATATGCATAAACATTCACAAGAAATACAGCACACCACTGGTTGCCATCTTGTCTTCATTTTGCTTTTGGCCCCATTCACTAGTGCTTGTAAAACTGTGTAAAATAAAACATCCTTATTGCCACATGACAATTCCTTAAGAAGTACAACACTTTGTAGAAGACCAGATGAGAAAAAGTAGCTTTTACTCACTGACAGCCAACACTTCTGGTAGAAGAAATTATGTTGTATTCAGAAATATAAAACTACTTGCTATAAAATAAATGACAGAAATTTATAGGTAACTATGTAAAAAAAATAAGTTATCAGGTAACCCATTTCTGATACTATAGTAAATTTATGATGCTTAGCCAGCAAAAAGAGTAATCATTAACAAGCATATCCTAAATAGCAACTACAGAGTTATCAATATCAAACCATCAGTAAAAATCAGTAGATGATACCTTATACAAATTGCTGAGAAAAAATGTAAGTTTTAACCTACTGTCCACAAACATGCAATTCTTTTATCATAAATACTGTCAATATTCAATATTTTGAATATCTCAGGGCTATTTTCCAAACTTGGAACTACTTCAGATTTGACAATCCCAAAGACAACAAGGTTACCCACAATCAACTGTGATTATTTTGACTATAATTTCTAGTTTTTTTATCTACACAGACAGATCCTCCCACTTAAAATATGAATAAGCACTCAATGGAGTAATTCATCATGCAATAAACAAAAGCTTTACAATATGGTCTTGTATCAATACAGTGACCATTTCACACTAAGCTGTCATCATTCAAATGGAAACAAAATAAAGCTTCTAAAATAAAAGCTTTATATTCCCATTTATGAATGAAAGCTGAAATATGCTCACATCAAAAATAAAAGAAGCCTGATGCTCACCTAGTCTTTGTGAGCTTGAAGGACAGAACTACTAGCCTACATAACTGACTATTGTCCCTTGGTCAGTTGCTTGAGCTTGTCGAGGAGAGGTAATTTCTGAACTAATGTAAGTAGCCTATAAAGTCTCTACTGTTTAAGGCTATTCAGATTCACTGCATTATGTAAACTTGAGTAATTTGTAACTTCAGGGAATGTGTTAAATTCAGGTAATTAGGGATCATTTGCATTAAAATGATGTCATAAAATTTCTAAACAGTCTTCCAACTGCCCAAGGGAGTTACTGTTACTTAACAGACTCTTAGAGATTCACTGTATGCCCAGTTGATCTGGATGCTTTAAATGCTGCTCATGCTGTGTTTTCAGTATGTTTGAGAGCTTAGTCCTATAAACTTAATAATATGTACTGCCATTTCCCAGTGAATAAAATGAATAATTAAGCCTCCTCACTCTTAGGAATTACAATGATTCTTCTGTGACACTAGGACTATATCATAGGATCATGAATTTAGCCAGCTAATCCTCCTTGTTGAATGCTTACTAAGCCTGTGGAACCGAGTCCAACTTCTCTGAAAGTGAGGAACTTGCTGCAGCAGCTAGAAACTGCACTCTCTTCACACTGGTCCCCACAACCTCATCTGCAGTTAACAAAGATAAGTCCCGACTTCCATGTGTCTCTGCATTTGCTGTCCCTTCTGCTAGACATGCCCATTCCCTCTCTGTCATCTGGCCAATTCTTTAACTCATTCTCAGGAGAGCACCTCCCCAGAGAGCCTACTGACTGTGCGAGGGGTTAAGTGCTGGGCTTTCTGTCTCCACAGCTGGCTGTGATCGCTTCAAGACTGAGGGGCAAAGCGTAATTGTCCATCCACTCATTCATTCTCCCAGCTGTCTGTGAACCCCTTAAAGGCTAGAACTGTGTCTTTTATCTCTAAATCCCTGTGGCCTTGATTTATTTTAACATGCTAAATAACAAGAGCTCAAGTGAACAAAATCCTTTCAATGAGTCAATGAATGAATTACACACGCGCGCGCACACACACGCGCACACACACACACACACACACACACACACACACACACACACACACGTGCCTTATGAGCATACAGGGAAAAATTCATTCAGATATTATTTCTGAGATACAAAGTGAATTGCTAAAAATTATCCATGGGTATCTACAATGCCCAAAGTTCTATCGATTTACAAAAAAAGTAATAATAACAAGAGCTATATAAAATCAACACACTTTCAGGTTAAATTACAGCTCTCTGGAAATCAGAAATGCCTAACAGATAAGAAACCCCCTGAGTTTCCTTGCTGGAGGAAATGTTGAGTATATGGCAATGAGTGGGTCTTGGCAATTCTGTCATTTCTCTGTGGTGTCCTGCAATTAAGATACACTGCTGCACCTTAAGATACCAAGGCAATTTGTCATAGTTATAAATAGCATTACTTCCACTTCTGACTTCAATTAATAATCTATACATGCTACTTAATCTAAAGTCTACCAAGTTGTTCATATCACACCAAACAATAGCTAATTCTCTCAGTTGTGAAGTTTACTTTGGCAGAGCCTATGGTATCATCTACCCAGGGTGGGGAGGCCTGTATGAGTCAAAACATCTCATAAGTGATACATTCTAGAAACACTGAAAGAGAAAAAACAAGAGCCCCTGTTTCAAAATTAGCAATATGCAGGGGCAGGCAGAGGGGCTGTGATCACATGGGGCAGAGGCTAAGTTCCAGAGTCTGCTCCTTCACTTTCCTCCTTCTGCATCTCTGAGTCTGTCCTTTCTTTCCTTTCAGACTCAGGGACTTGTTTTAATGAACTGCCTACATCAGCAAATTCCCGACCATGGGAAACTATATAGAATGAAAGACCTCATATCTTAATAAATATATTACAAGAAAAATTAAAAATAAAAAAAATAAAGGCATGGGTGGAAGAAACCATATACTAAAGAGACTTAAATAAACTAAGTATTTACTTATTTCAGCTCTGGCTCAAAATGAGAAAAAAAATATGCATATAAACTGTACACATATAAGCATATTTTTGAGACAAGTAAAAGTTGTTCTGAAAGAATGGTTGCTTTATAATATTAATTAATCTTATTTTTAACATGACAGTTCAGGGTAAACCTTTTTTTTAAATAACCCTTTGCTTTCAGAGTTTCACTACTGAAAATTTTAATAAATAATATATCATTTTCATCACAGTGATTCAGAAAGGGGAGAAGAACATTAGGAGACAAAACCAAGACAGACTGTAAGTTACCAACCACTGAAGATAGGGTTCATTATAATCCTGTCTAGTTTGTGTGAGTTTGGGTTTCTTTTTAAAATAAAAGACTACAAACAAACATCAGAATATTCCTTCACAGGAATATTATTTACTGAAAAACAAGACACAGATTCCCTGCTTACTCAGTTTTTCCATGGAAACAAGTCAAAATAAAAAGAGACATAGGCAGTAGCCAAACATTAATTCGGATAATACTATCTTTCATTAAAGGTTGGGCATATAAGGTTTCCTACTACAATAATCTAACTTCAATGGATGCTATAAGTAACCCTGAATTTCTTTCTACATCAAAATGTTAATGAAGCCAGTTACTTGGCTGCAAATATAGATAGACAAATATTTCTCAATCCTTACACATCTCACATTTGAATAACCGAGTACATTAACACACTACAGTTATGATAGTATCAAGTGTATTTATGATGTGAAAATGCCCAGCGTATCTTCAGTAAAGGATACAACAATTTTCAACTATATGAGCTTCAGATGTCCTTGCAGACCAATGAACTATCCGGTTGATGCATACAAACAGAAAAACACATGGTCCCAAAAATATTTGCTAGAATTAGCCAGCAACTTCAAAAGAATTTTCAGTCATATCATAGATGTTTGGCATTAATTTAAATGCAGATACATTAGTTTGATTAATGTAATGCAATAAATTAGTTCTTTTTAGCAAGTTAAGTGCTCAAAAATACAGCCCTAATTACAAATGGTGAAAAAGGTAGGCAGGACCGGTTTACAGAAGTCAGGAGTGAATGGGCATATATCTGGTGTTCACACATCTAAGTGAGCAGGGGATTTTGCAGTGTAGTTCATTTTATTTGGGTTTCTTAGGAATGCCTAGTTTCCTTCTCTTTCCTTCTTTCTACTTACCTTGTGTTATAAAGCCTTCTCTCAGAGTTAAAACAACGAAGATGATGATGCAATCCTAACCAAACAGAATGTCCTACCCTGTGCAGGTTTTGCTTGACTAAGGAGATAAGGTCTCTGCCTCTCGCCCCTCGTCCAGGTTACTGGATTACCAGGGGCATCCACCACCATACCCTCCACCCTACCCCACCCCTTCTGCAAAACCCTGGGCCCCTGGGCCTGTGCTTCTTTGGTTTTTTTTTTTTTTTTTTTTTTTTTTTTTTCTGTCTCCTTTTCTCCTCCTTCTTGCACCAGGAGCATAATGCATGAGTCGCATTAGGACTGTGCTCTTTTCACCCAGCACACCGCGTCTCCACGGCAACCCCAAGCAAACGTGGGGCCGTGGGGCTGCGCCACCGACCACCTCCCTCACCCTGCCGCTCACCTGCTGGCCACCAGGGTCGCCCCGCACCCGTGTGTTGAGCCGGTCGTGCCAAGTTTCGTCCTCGCTGCCCAAGCGGTAGATGAGACGCAGTGGCACGATGCTTTGGCGCTCCTGGAAGCGGTTTTCGTCCCCCCTCTCCAGCTCCCTCAGTGAGGCGTCTCCTTTCAGGCAGACAGGCAGGAGGGCAGGAGGAAGTAGAGAGAAGCGACAAATAATAATAATAGTAATAGTAATAACAACAACTCTGAACCACAGTCTTCCACCCTGTAGTCCTACATCTCCCCTACGAAAATTCCCCCGCCTCCTCCCTTCCGGACCCCATCTGGGAAGGACGCAGAGACACCAGCTGGAGAGCTCTGAACCAGCTCATCCAAGAACATCCCTGGGCCCAGAAACAAGGCACCCCTTTCCCATTCTCCTCTTCTTCAAGAAAAAATAAATAAAAAAAAAAAAAGGCATTTGACCCCAGATTGCCGATGCATCCTCGAGCCCCCGACACGTTTGCTCCTTTCTCACCGCCCTTCAAAAAGCAAAAACCGCGCACTGTGCAAACGCGGATGCGGCTTTTCGAAAGGCCTCGGGGCTCCAAAGAGTCCTGGAAGCCGGGGCAGTGGCTAACTTACCTGCCGGACCGCAGCGCACCAGGAGGTAAGTTCCCAAGACGCAGAGCAGCCAGAAGGACGCGGCGGCCGCTGCTTGCATGGTGGCGGCGCTCAGCTGCTCGTGCCCCGACCGAGGGCTCCGACTCCCCGCCGCCCCTTCCCGGCCCGCGCCGCTGCCGCTGCCGCAGCCGCCGCTGCCTCAGTGCTGCATTGTGCCTCGCGGGCGCTTCGGTGGCGGGGGCAGCGAACGAGCGCCGCATCGGGCGCCAGGCTGTAGCTAAGTGGCTTCTAGCGCCTCCCACTTCATCCCCTGGCGGAGGCCGGGGAGGGCGGCCAGCTCGGCGGGGAGCGGAGCTGGGTGCGGAGTGGGCCTGGTGCACTTTCCCCCCACCACCATCCCCACCCCGCGCCGCACCCGGCGCGCACCGGAGTAGCTGGGAAATGTAGTTCCCTCCCCGCATCTCTCTGATCTCCACAGCGACGCGACGGTCGCCACCCAGAGACTGCAGACCCCAGGAAGGAAAAGCGCCAAGAAGAGGTGAGGGACACCACCTGCACGGTTGCAGCAGCGGGAATTCGCCCTGCAGTGTCGCATTGTGGCTCACGAGTTAGCAGTATTGCTTGTGTTACCAAGCGACCGTGCCCTATGTTCATTCCAAGTCAATCATTCCACAGATACAGATCCTACTATGTGTCAGGTGGTTGCAGTGGTAAAGGACCAGGGTGTGAGTCACCCACTTAATTTAGATGCAATTAAGAAAGGCTGATTCGGTAAGAATTTGAGCAGGGTGGAGTGGGGGTGGGAGTAGGGGGGCGGGGAATGCGGGGGTAAATGTTTTTATTTGAATGGGTATTTTGCAGTGCAGGTGTGTCTGCGCACCATGTGTGTGCAGGACTGTTGGCAACCAGAAGAGAGAGTTTTGGGTTCCTGGGACCTGGATCCAACACATGTCCTCTGTAGGATCAGCCAGTATTTTAACCCCTGGGCCATGTCTCCATAAGCAAGCCTTTTTTTTTTTTTTTTTTTTTTTTTTTTTTAAGTGGCTTTTAATTGCATTTTATGTTGAGTACCCAGAGGAGGGTCATTAACCCAACACCAGGAGAATCCCAAGACTTGTCCCAGAGGTCTAGGCGGGCTCGTGAAGTATGGTTGAGCCCAATTCTCAGTGGTTTGTGTGCTTCCTCAAACCTGTACAGGTAACAGATAGGGGAACTATACTTTCTCAGGCTGCCCCTACCCCACCCCACTGCAAATGTTAGAGACTCGTGGAGATAAAAATAGTAATAACATAATTGTTAACATAATTAGCACTTGCCCTTTACAGGTTTTGAGATTCACATACACTGGCATTTGAGCCTCAGGTCAAAAATGTGAACAAGAGAAAGGAGAAAAGTAAGGATTAGATCAAGTAGGCTTCTTCCCAGGGATGGGTCAATATATATGTAAATCAATAAATGTAAACCACCTTATAAACAAACTGAAAGACAAAAAACACATGACCATCTCATTAGATGAAGAAAATCCTACACCCCTTAATGGTAAGAGTTGTAGAGAGATTAGGGATCCAAGGGACATACCTGAACATAAGAAAGGCAGTTTACAGCAAGCCTATAGCCAACATCAAGTTAAATGGAGAGAAATTCAAAGCAATTCCACTAAAATCGGGAGCAAGAAAATGCTGTTCATTCTCTCCATACTTGAATTCTTAGCTAGAGCAATAGGCACCTGAAGGATATCAAGGAGATTGAAAAATGGAAAGAAGTCAAATATCTTTATTTCTGTGTGATGTGATTGTATGCATAAGTGACCCTAAAAATTCCACCATTGAACTCCTACACTTTCAGCAAAGTAGCTGGATACAAAATTAAGTCACAGAAATCAGCAGCTTATCATACAGAAACATCAAACAGGCTGAGAAAGAAATCAGGGAAACAATACCTTTCACAATAGCCTCAAATAATAGAGAATATCTTGGGGTAACTCTAACCAAGCAAGCAAAAGAAAGACTTGCATGATAAAAACATTAAGTAATTGAAGAAACAAGTGGAGGAAGACATCAGAAGTTGGAATGATCTCCCTATGCTCATTGATTAGTAGGATTAACAGAGTAAAATTGGCTATCCTACCAAAAGCAATCTACAGATTCAATCCTCATCAAAATTCCAACACAATTCTTCACAGATCTTGAAAGGAAAATCTTCAGCTTCGCATGGAAACAGTCAAACAAACAAGAGACAGGATAGCAAAACTGCATAACCAAACAACTGTTGGAGACATCAACATCCTGATCTCAAACTGTACTACAGAGCTATAGTAATAAAAAGAGTATGGTTTGGGCACACACAAAAACAGACATGTCAAAGAATAAAATCAAATTGAAGACCCACATACAAGCATATATACCTATGAACAGAAGCCGGAAATACATACTGAAAAAAAAAATGCAACATCTTCAACAAATGGTGTTGGCCAAATATTTTTGGGAACTACATGTCAGAAGCATATTGAAATGTTCAAGTCTTCAAATCAGTGAGATAGCTGAGAATCTTAGGTGGCATGCAGTTGTCTATAGCTTGAAGTAGATTTCAAGAGTCCATTAGGCCTTAATAAACAGAGTTCTGTTTATTGAGAATTAGAACCTGAGGCATAAAAATGTGTTTTGTGTTCTTCCTCCACACCAAAACTCAATTATTGACTGGTTCTCCCAGCTGAGAAGAGTTGTGTAAGCTTTATAATTATTGCATTGCTCTAAGATGAGTGTTTACTTTTCTTTTCTTTTTTTTGGGGGGGGGGGATGTTTGGCATATGATAAATAATTTCAAAAAACTAAGCATATCAGTTTGATGTGACAAACATTTAAATAACTTTTTTAAGGTTTGTCTTAGCTTGTGTTGCTAAAGCAATCATAGCACAGACTAGGGAGGTTAAGTAACAAACCTTTAAGGAACTGAGATGTAACAGTCCTGGGCTTTGTAGTTAGCACTACAAAGCAAAACACAAGGAACACAAGGACAATGAGACATTTGTCACAGTGCTGGAGGTCAGAAAGCTAGGAAGGCACTGCAGGATGTCCTATCAGGTATGGGCTCCTTCCTGGACAGAGGCCACCTTATCTTTGTCCTTATGAGATGCAAATAGAGCATTCCTGCTCTCCTCACTACCTTTTGCTCTCTTTTATAATGCAGGCATTAATCCAATTGTGGAGGTTTCACCCTCCTCATGGCCTAATTACTTCTGAAGACCTCATCTTCAAACACTTTCTTAGTGTTTGGAGTGATACAATCAGTATTAGTAGAGGTTAAAAGTATCTCACTCATCAAATTTATAAGTCTGGAATCCTAGATGCTTGACATATTTGAGAAAACACAAATGACAAGTTATGTTTCATATATATATATATATATATGAAAGTATATGTATATATATGTATATATATATACTTTTTAATGTGTGTGTGTGTATATCATGGGCACATATACATGTATTGAAAGACCCCCACTATGCTTATTGCCTGTTTAAATTGCTCTTGCTAATTTGCCAAGGTCAAGCTATGAGAAAAGTACAGGAGGGAACCAGATGCTGCTCTCATCCAACGCCAACCAGATATCTGTGGTCTGCAGCTTGGACCAAAGCAAGGTCAGCAGGACAGTGTCCATTATGCTGAGAGAGTCGTAACTGAATTCTTTGTATTCTTTGTGCCCAATCCGAATAACCAACTGTCCTTGGTTAACTACAACTGCTACATTTAGATGAAACAATGAAGTCCCTGTAACCATGCTTCTGCTTCTGTAAGCCTGCTTCTTGCTACACCAACCTTATATAAACTGCATATGCTTTAACCAGGCACGCTCTCTCAGTCTCTCGAAAGACTAGGGCATCCATAGGTACCTGTGTGTAAATAATAAATAACCTCTTGCACTTGCATCCAGTGGTCCGGTCTCGTCTCTTGGGGGCAAGGGCCTTCCCCCTGACAGGCTCCAAACTCTTGGGGTCTTTCAGTATACACACAAGCATGTGAAACCCTAACTTTGAACTACTGCTATTCCTAGTTCCCTCTCCTGAATGCTGGTGTTATTGGTCATTGTACCCTGTCTCTTCACATATGTTTGAATGGAGAAGTCTCTAAGAGGAAAACTAAAGATTTTGTAGTCTAAAATTTTTATAATTTCATAAGTATATGTATTTAAAGATGACCACTTGGAATTGGTTAATCCATCAGGGTTCTCATCTCTGGAGAGGACTGATGATTCTCCTCCTCTTAACAGTTAATAGTTGTCTTTAGCTCTTCACCTAGGGGGAGACACAATGAACTCACAGATTGTACTCACATATACATGTATGTATATAACAATAATGATTAAGGAAGAAAACATCATGAATTGAGAGGGACACACAGGAAGAACTGGAATGGGAAGAGAGTTGGTTAGAAATGTTATAAATACAGTATTCATAAAATTCTCAAAAAATATTTAACATAAAATGACAAAAGTTTATAAACTTTTGTCTTATTTGAAATATGAATGAATATTATAAGAAAAGAGCAATGCATTAAATATTTGTTTGTATTAAAAATATAAAATGATATGGCCTCTGTGACTTCTAAGCAAGAAAAAAACTAAAGTATGTTTGTATCAGAGAATGTTTATTTTCTGTTTGACTAAGAACAAATAACATTACTTTATTATACCAAGGCAGTAAGAAGATCATCTAGTTAATCAAATAGAGTTATGTTATATTAATTAATAGCATTATAATTATTATAACAATCAAAATATACGATTTCTCATGATGCCTTTTGGAAGGGCTCTCCAAATCTTTCTGAATGAAGGTGCTTCTAGGGTTACTTGCTTGTTTCATATGTCTATTTTTAAAATTTGTTTAATTTTATGTTTTAATTATATGTTGATGCATGTATCTATTCTTTATCAATTAAGAATTGGGAGTCAGATATCAAGGTAAAAACCAGAATGATCAGAGAAGTGATAGAGAAGCCTCCAGTGACCTCTTATATCTTTGGTTCCTCCATCCAAAAGAGCTGAGATCCTTTCTCAGTCTGCCTTACTACTTCCTGTCTCCTATCGGTCCTCAGTCCTCCAAAACCTCTATGGTTGCTTTTAGTCACCT